CAGAAAAAAGGAAAAAAAAATATAAAAACACTGTTCCGTTCGCCGGAACAGTCGCGGGATCGCCGGCCGGCGGGTATTTTGGCCGGCCGGCGACCCAGACCCTTATTTGATACTTTTTGGGGACTTTGGGTACCAATTTGGCACTAAGTCCACTTGGGACCCCATTTTGGGAAAATGGCCCCACTTTGGACCCCAAATTGAAATTTTCCCAAGATTGAATTGATGATTTTTTTTATATTTCAAATTTTCAAAAAAGTGTTGATCAAGAGAGTTGACTTTATGAGTTGATCAAAAGGTCAACCGAAAAGTCAACCTTGGATCATTGAGGAAAATGACTCCAAAGTTCAGATAGAATGCAATGAAACTTAAAAAACATTGAAATGACTTTTTTTTTGCCAAAATAGAGTTCTGTCTCAATCAGGAACCCTAATTTTGAGTTTTTTTTTATATTATATGATTTGTTGGCTAAAAATTAGGTGTCAACGTGAATATAAACTCATGCTTATTATTTTTAATTGTTAGTTAGCAGAATAGATGTGCAAGTGTGTGTATAGTGTTGGCTATTCCCGGCAAGGAACAATGGACCAAGAGACAAGGGAACGATATGGTTTTTATAGAGTGAAAAATGGTTACAAGGCTAGGTTATGCGACTAATTCCAAGGCTGAAGGGTGTAGCTGTGTTTTAGTTGGTGTCTTCTGTTGGTTTCTTATAGGGTGAATTTCCTCAAAAACCCTGAACTTTAGGTCAAGTCCCAAATTTGCCCTGAACTTTTTTTTGTCTCAGAAAAAACCCCCAACTTTAGGTCTAGTCTCAAATCTGCCTCGAATTTTTTTTTTTTGGTAACCGAGAATCCGCTACCATTCCCCGGGGACGAGCCCGCACAGGTAATCGGGGCGCCTATACCTCGGGGGAGACTAGCCAAGCAACCCACCGCCAGGGCCTCCCACTTAAATTACGGAACCAAGTGGGGATTCGAACCCAGAACCTCTCTGAGGGAAGGAAAGCGTCCACCAACTCGGCCATGCGCAGGTGGGTCCCGAACTTTTTTTTGTCTTAGAAAAACCCCAAACTTTACGTTCAGTCCTAAATCTGCCCCGAATTTTGTTTTATGTAAAAAAAATCAGGAAATTTCAATTTATTTTCAAAAATATACCCCGGTGATCTAGTCCTAACTTGACGTGGCACTTCCACGTCATAACAAATCCACATCAGCAAAGTAATAGGGCGATAGATACAAACTGACATCGCATTTCCACTTCGATAACAAATCAAACCAAATAAAAATTGTTGAAATTCTCCAAAATAAAATCATTCTAGCGTATGAAAGTTAGGGACGATAACAAATCCACCCCAAATTTTTTTTTTATTTAAAAAAAAAACCTAATTTTTAGGTTCAGTCCAAATTTGCTCCGAACATTTTTTTGTCTAAAAAAAAGTCCCATTACTTTATTGATGTAGATTTATTATTGACGTGGAAGTGCCACGTCCAGTTGGGACAGGATCACCGGGGTGTATTTTTGAAAAATAAATTGAATTTTGGTGATTTTTTTTTACATAAAACAAAATTCAGGTCAAATTTGGGACTGGACTTAAAGTTTGAGATTTTTTCTGAGACAAAAAAAAGTTCGGGGCAGATTTGGAATTTGACCTAACGTTAGGAATTTTTTAGGAAATTAGGCCGTTTCTTATATGCTCTTACACGAGCACCATCTAGCCTATTTATAGGCAGATATAACCGCCATACTCTTGTACAAGAGGTAAAGACAGGCTACGTGTCTTTCTTTTTAACCTATACACTCTTTTACTTTTATCCAAGATCTTTTTTCACAAAAGCTCTGGACAGCTCTAGACAACTCTACTAACCACCTGAAGACTAGATAATTTGTAAAATTCTTCTAGATTCTCTCGTAAATGGATCACTTCTTTAACACTCCTCCTTAATCCAAATCTTGAACTTGGCTTGTGGTGGTGCCCTAGTAAAATATCCGCGAGTTGATACTTGGTTTTGCAATATTTAAGCATGACCTATCTAGTACTTTGCACATCGCGTATAAAGTGATAGTTGATGTCGATATGTCTCGTTCTCCGGTAAAAGACTAGATTTTTTGAGATAGCTATCGCAAACTTTTTGTCGTGAATTTTTGGAATAGGGTCCGTTTATACTTCTCCAATTCCCCTAGTATTCTTCAAATTAAGCCATGAACATAGTTGTTTCCTATACGTAAAGTTTGTTTGAAAGTTGTTACTTTCTGATAAGTTGGAATTTCCTTTCCTTATCCAAACATAAAAATCATGTTGAAAATTACCGGTCTCCATCAGACACAAACTTACATTTTCATCGTGAAAAATTATTCGAGTGAAATGGTTATGTAACATAATTACTTGATATTGATACTTACCCTTCATGTGAAATATTACCTACCATATTTTAAAAATTAGTGATTAACAACATGTTAACAATACTTTCACTCTTGAAAGGTTATTACTTATCCTACTCCGGAGGATAAGTTACCTCTCTTGACTTTGGATGTAGTCCGAGTTTCTTTTCAAGTTGCTAATCACGTGGTGAAATTATAAGTTACCGCTAGTTTAAAAATTAGTTTTTCGTTAACAATATTTGCTACAATCAGATATCTACGAATACTTTTATTTTGACTTGCTTTGTTCAAATGAAAAGTTACTTGCAGTCGTGAAGGATACTGGAAACAATTGTTGATACATCACAAGGCATTTTCCAAAGGAGTAAGCTCCTGTATAAGTTAGTAATTATGTGTCAAATGATATTTTCTGTTACGTCTAATTAACGACCATGGGTAAACAGTTAGTGACATCAAGCGTATATTTTCAACGTTCAAAGCTGCGAACAACGTTAAATTATTGTAATTAGTGATCGTCATTGAATTAGCCTTGTCCAACATAGAGTAACCTTGGGGCTAGCCCACGGGCTAACTTTGTGGATAGAGCTCTTCTTGATGTGTGTGGACGATCCAATTTTTATGCATTCGCAAAATTGATCTAACCGACAATTCAATTATCCCACATTGCCTGCATACTGAATTGTTGTATTAACCACGTGGAATATGTTTCAGGAAGCCTTTCAAATTAATCAGTAGATTTTCATTCTAGAAAAGTAAGTTTTCCTATTCGTATTAATAACTAGTAATTTTACCAGGTGTAACTTTTCAAGGTTAAAGAAAGATTTAAATTTAGACGGCGACAAGGACGTTCCTTTAAATAAAATAGAAAAAGAGCTATTGCTATGATATCGCACCAAGCTGACTACAGAAACCAGGCAATCCAAGCTTCTACCAAAACCATATACAATTCTTTTACATTGCTTGGTTCTTTTCTCTTACACCCAGAAGCAAACCAAATGCTGCAGGGATTACCCAAAACTTTCAGTAAGGCATCAGCATCCGCGTATCCTTTGTAAAACGGTTTTACAAGGCCACAGCCAGCATAATATATATCACAACACTTCCTTCTCAAGCTTCAACACTGCCATAAAGGCTTCTTGAGGTACATCGACCTTGCCAATGGCCTTCATTCTTTTTTTCCCTTCAGCCTAATAATAGAGAAGATAAAGCTTACTCAGATTAACAAATCTTCCATAACTATCATCAATTTTCATGTGCATGCAAAAACATATGCATGCTTCAACATAAAACAGATTGCCAGAACAAAATTGAAGATGTCAAGTTTCACCAAGTGCATTTGGGTTTGGACCCACAATTACTGAAGAGATTATGCGATGATGACATGTGATTTAAGATAGATAAAAACCGAAAGACCAAAATTTTTTTGTCCCTCACATATATCGCATTAGTTAATGACTCTTCAATTCTATAAATTACTATCATCTTTTTATCTTAGTTAGAAGGCATATGTATTTGCTTTTGTATACAGAACCTGCATGGAAAGCTCCCTGATCAGTCGCATCACAGAATTTTAAATGAGTAAAAATTCAACTGTACGGTCAAGCAGACCTTTGAAATATTAGACCATCAAATCAAATACAAAAAACTTACAGAAAAGCCACAACACAGCACCGGATCACCATGTAGAAAATGGTTGGGATGCTTAAAAGACCAATTCGAACAATTTCTGACCCTTGCAATTTGTAGCATATTTATCCATTGATACAAGAAGGCAGAGAAATAAACCATCTTACATCCTGTCCTACCCCTTTCACTTTTTTGAGACTTCATCATGACAAATAGGGAAAATTCTATGTTGCCATATTAAAATTGTACTAGTACATGACTAATCCACTTGTATATATCAGAAAACAACAAAGGATGGATCTAATCCATCAAAGTTAAAAGCAATTCCTTGGATACCTTCACCTTTATTGGAAATGAGATGATTGTGTATGGGTGGTACGCACTCTTTTTAAATAGCCTTTATATTCAAAAGCCACCCAAAAAAAAAGGATTAAGTATCTTAACGTCTCGTGCCCAACATTAAACAAGGTTCCGCTTGACTATCAACTCCTATATATCTGTTCAAGCATATATACTCCAGTGAGATAACTACTGCTTTCGACATTTCTTTGATCTCTGCCTCATCCTCATGTGTTCCTAATGGTCTGATGAATCTTAATGCTTCATGCCCGAGGATAAACAAGGATTCCGCCTGAATATCAACACACATATATCTGTCTAAGCATATATACTCAAGTGAGATAACCATTGCTTCCAGTTGTTTCTTTGATCTCTGCCTCATCCTCATTTGTCTATAACGGCCGATAGTCTGCTGATGCAGTATTTCTTAATGAATTGTTATTGTGATTCACTGCCTAGGGCCTTAGATTGATATAGTTGGCCTAGGTCTCTAATTCCTGAGTGGAATTATAGCAGGTAGGTGGATGTGAGATCCAATGAGAATGAGTAGTCGAGGTAGAGGTCGAGGTCGAGGTCGTGTGGCCCCGCAAGCTAGAGTTGCAAAGGATCCCCGGGTTGATGGAATTCTGAGAGTACTACAAGAAGTTGGGATTTTAATGGGTAGGCAGACTGAAGAGCGGAATGCTACTATCGCTGCTGCTGCTGAGACCGCTGTTGCCGCCGCCAACGGAGCCAATGGGACTAATGGAAATCATGGGAACAATGTGAATGGTGGGAACCCTGGTCAAGGACAGGTAAATGCAAACAGACCGATGTCCAAGTTGGTCGAGCAATTTTTGAAGTTGAAACCCCCGGAGTTTGATGGGAGAGGTGATACTGAGGCTGCACCTAGGTGGGTGGAAGAGCTAGAGAAAGCTTTCGAGGTGCTGGGATGCACGGAAGAAGAAAAAGTAACCCTAGTAGTCTACCAACTTCAGGAAAATGTGAGCGATTGGTGGAGAGCCACTAGAGGTCAAGTGTTCCCCGCTGGTACTGCCCCGAATTAGACTATTTTTACCGAGACCTTCAATGGCAAGTATTTCTCGGAAAGTGCCCGAGAGCAGAAATTGGCAGAATTCATGAGGCTTCGCCAGGGTCAGATGTCGGTAGACCAATATGAGGCCGAGTTCACAAGGCTGTCCAAGTTTGCCCCAAGAATAGTAGAGGACCCAGCGGACAAAGCTAGGAGGTTCCGGGATGGGCTGAAGTCAGACCTCCGCAGTCAGATGATATCACTGAACTTGAGGGGTTATTACGAGATTTATGATCGAGCTCAAGCAATTGAGCGTGATTTGATGGATCGGGTTGCCGCCCCTAGATTGCGGTATGCCCCGGCTAGGGACTATCATCAAGTTGGGAAGAGACTAATGATGGGAAATAGTCGCTTCGTCCCTCCCGTTAGGAAGAATATCGGGAAGCCGGCTCACCATTCGTGTGACATTCCAAATTTCGGCCCATTTTTGGGATTTATAAAACGCGAAATTCGTCAGTGTGCTTATAGTAAAAATCTCGCCCGGGAACTGATCACTCTCGGTTATTGTTTTTAAAATTGAGATTTCGCTAGAATCGCACTCGATCGAATTTGGCCGTTATTTAGAGCCCAAATTTTGGTGTCGAATTTCTCAGAGTTTCGGGACGAATTTAATTGGACGGTGTCGATATTATTGTGGTCGGCCTCGAGATTGCTCGAAATATGTGAAAAATGGATTTTTGACCCGGTGCGAATTTGGACTAGTAGACCTCCCTCGTTATAGTTTGATTTAATTAATTTGACCTTTGTCCCTTATTATATTCGAGGTTTATTTTGGACTGGTAGATCATTTTCGATTTTGAATTTGGGCCATCGGATCGCAATTAATATTTGAATGAACGTTTATTTTTCTTACTCTCTCTCTCCCTCCCTCTTTCTTTCTCTCTCTCCTCCCCCTCTGCTGCGCACGATGGCCCCCCTGCACGTGTCTCTTCATGCTCATTTTCCTCAGACCTTCTCTCTCTCCTCTCTCTTCTTCTCTTTCCTTTCTTTCTCTCTTCTTTCTTCTTCTTCTTCCTTCTTTCTCCCGCACCTGGTTCTGCTCCTGCTTCTGCTCCTTCTCCCTGTTGCCCGACGCCGACCGCCTGAGCTCGCCTGGCCGCAGCGCGTCGTCGCCGTCGCCAACTAGCTCGACCGCCGCGCCGCCGTCCGCCAGCCGCCGCCCCCGACCGGCTGGTCTCCTCCCCTGCTCCAGATCTGGTTTTTCCTCCCTTCCGCGCGCGTGTCTTCCACTGCGCCGCCGTCCGCCGCCGCGCGCCTCACCGCCCGTCCGGCCGGCGTTCCCGTCGACCTGGAGTCGCCGTCCGTGCCGCCGATCGTCCCGAGCCCGACCGTTCCCATCTCTCCCGTCCCTTCTCTCTTTCCCTCCGGCTCGGGCCAGATCTGGCCGTGCCGGCGTTGCTCGCCGCCGCGAGCCGCCCCGGCCAACCGTCGCTGCCTCAATCACCGACCGCCACCCCACCGCTTGGCCGGCCACCCAGAACCACCCCCTCCCCTGTTCCGGCCAACCCAGCGCCTCCCCTCCCCTGTTCGGTCGTTCGGCCTTCTATTCGCCCGTCGCCGCCGGAGCTGCTGCTTGTTTCGGCGAGGCCTCTGCTCGCCCCTGCTGCTGCCGCCTCAGCCGGGACCCACCTTGCTGCCCGGCTGTGGTCGAGAGCCTCGTCGGGTCGCCGCTGCCGCTGCTGTCCCGGTGATTTCCCCGCTGCCCAGCCTCGTTTTCTTGTTTAAGTCAAGGTAAGCGACACCCTAAACCTTGTCTAGGACTTTGGGTATCAATAGACTTGTTTAGGGGTCGTCGGAGTAGAAATAGTGGCTGTTATGGACTGTTCAGTATGGATTGGGTGGCTGATTTGGTGCGGTTTAGTGAAGAAAATGGTGGTGAGTTCGGGATGGGTGATTGGGTTGGAACGTAGGCTGAATCAAGGTGGTTTATTGCTGATTTTAGGGTTAGTTTGGGGGCCGTTGATGCTGGAATTTATGCCGCGATTTTGGATTGTTCGTGTGTGATTCAATATTTGTGTGGCGATGATTCGCGTTAATTATTCGTGGTTGGTTTAATGTATATCATATGGGCTCGGGCTTGCAATGGTAGATGGGGTTTAATGGGCTAGAGTGATGGATGAATTAAGTGGCGTGTGTGTTTGCTTGACCAAGCCCGGATCGATCGGAGGGCTGCCAACCTGTAGGGTGTTGACCCGGGTTGTGAGCACGGACTTGGGACGTGTTGACGGCGGTCCGTGGAAAGGCATGAATGGCCGATGTGCCAAATGGATGCGGGCTTGAGACGTGTTGACGGTGGCCCGTTAAAGGTGTGTTGGACCGGGACGTGTTTACGTCGATCATTAGAATTGAGCCCGGATTGATCAGAGGGCTACGGACTTGGGACGTGTTGACGGCGGTCCGTGTGAAAGCATGAATGGCCGGTGTGCCAAATGGGCCTGATGCGTGTTTACGCGGGCTGTGAGAATGGACCTGAGGCGTGTTTACGCGGGTCGTGTGATTGGGCCTGAGGCGTGTTTACGCGGGCTGTGAGAATGGAGCTGAGGCGTGTTTACGCGGGTCGTGTGATTGGGCCTGAGGCGTGTTTACGCGGGCTGTGAGAATGGACCTAATGCGTGTTTACGTGGGTCGTGTGATTGGGCCTGAGGCGTGTTTACGTGGGCTGTGAGAATGGACCTGAGGCCCGTTGACGCGGGTCGTGGATAGTTGGTTGGGCACGTGTGCGTAATGTGAGTGGTTGGATTGGCTGGATGAATATGTGGATATTTGGTTGAATTGGTTGAATGTTGGATGTTTGGTTGGATTGGTTGAGTGCAAGTGTGGATGGCGCTCGAGTGATTGTGTTATATTCTCGGGATATTATTGCATATCATGATTTGACTAATGTGCAGTGTGGGCATGTGATTGGATGGCGAGGTAAGTCAATTTATGTGAATTATATATATGTAATCAGTTAGATTGCATGCTGAACTTGTCTGGGTACGCATTGGCCTATGTGGGGTTTAGGGGTCTGCTTATTGAGATTTATCTCATTCCCGTTGTTAAAAATTTTCAGTTTTGAAGTGACGGATAGTTGTCACGTGCGGTTCAGAGACCGGGAGTGACCTTGGGCATCTGATGCTTCGTTTCATCTTTGGATGCCCCTCTTTTGTATAGCGAAGTAAGATACCCAACCACTGTTCCCTTTTGATGTTGTGTATTTGAAATTGTTGTTTTGTGCTATCCCTTTGTTATTATTTGTTGTCTGGGTTATTTAATTTCCGCTTCCGCTTATGTTTGTCTTCGCGTGTTTCGTTTGGGTCGGCGACGCGTCCTGGGACGTCGCATTCAATACGACCATCGAAGGGGTGTCGCGAGCCCGTTGGGGTTCGGGGCGTGACAATTTGAATTCGACTTGTCGACTTTGTGGGGGAAGACACGGAAATGGGCCTTGCCCGAGTAGGGATGGAGTATGCTTTGGATGTGGTGGGCGAGGTCACCAAGTGAGAAACTGCCCGAACCGATAGGGTAGGCCGCCGATACAACTGTGGCAACCGTGAGTAAGACATCAAGCGGGAACCGCTCCGCCGAATGATCAGAATCGACTACGAGCATGAGGAAAAGTGTAAGTTGTGGCGGGGAAGGAAGCGGACAACTTGTCTTACGGATCTAAATGCGATGTATAAGGATATTTGGTGTATTATAAGTGTTTTTTTGAGAAATTTTAGATTTGAATGGTCATGCAAGACATATAATTGCTCATGGTAAATTGATGCAATCAGTTTATGTATTTTGGAATCACTAATGATATCCTTTGACAAGAGTTGGGTGAATGAGTTATTGCTTGGAAATTTCGGATTTTGTAAAGAACATGAGCGATTTACTTTGGGGAGACTGTTGGATTGAAATTGGATGGATTGAACTTTTTCTTTGAGGTATAGAAAGATAATTATTTTGTGGCTGACTAGTTAATTGAGGAACCAAGGCTAAAGGACATAGCCGAGGTGTGTAATCTTCCCGATGTCTTTCCTCAGGAATTGCCGGGATTTCCACCTAATAGAGAAGTGGAGTTTGTGGTTGAGTTGGCGCCATGGACAGAACCGATCTCGAGAACACCCTATAAGATGTCGTTGTCGGAATTAAAAGAATTAAAGGCCCAAATGCAGGAGTTGCTGGATAAGGGCTTTATTCGCCTGAATGCGTCTCCATGGGGAGCGCCGGTTTTATTCGTGAAGAAGGAGAACGGATCGTTAAAGTTGTGCGTTGACTACATACAGTTGAATCAGGTGACCATTAAGAATAAGTACCTATTGTCAAGGATAGATGATCTGTTTGATCAGTTACAAGGGGCATCGATATTCTCAAGGATCAACTTAAGGACTGGCTATCATCAATTGATGATTAAAAAGGAGGATATGTCGAAGACGACATTTAGGACAAAATATGGGCACTATGAGTTTACAGTGATGTCATTTGAATTGACTAACGCCCCAACTACTTTCATGGATTTGCTGAATCAGGTGTTTAGGGAATTCTTGGATCCGTCGTTATTGTATTCACCGACGACAGTGATAGAGGTTCGAAGTTTCTTGGATCTGGCAGGGTGTTACAAATGATTCGTGGAAAGGTTCTCGGCATTAACGACACTGTTGACGCAGTTATTAAAGAAGGAGACGAGGCTTGAATGGACGGATAAGTGTGAAAGGAGTTTCCAAGAGTTAAAGCGGAGATTGACGTTCGCGCCGGTATTGATAATCCCGTCAGGTCCGGGAGGATATGAGATTTACAGTGACACGTCGCTAAGAGGATTGGGATGCGTGCTAATGCAACACGGAAGAGTAGTGGCATACGCATTGCGACAATTGAGACCGCATGAGCTGAATTACCCGACGCACGACTTGGAATTGGCCGCGATTATATTTGCTCTTAAGATTTGGAGACACTACTTGTGTGGGGAGAAATTTCAGATTTATACGGGCCATCAAAGTTTAAGGTACTTGTCTCCCAAAAGGAATTGAACATGAGACAGCGCCGTTGGATGGAACTCCTTAAGGACTATGATTGCGAGATTATGTATCATCCCGGAAAAGCTAATAAAGTAGCGGATGCACTGAACCGAATCCAAACTAAGATTAAGGATTTATAATCGACGGACCCGGAGATTCAAAAGATTCTGGGTATGGATGTCATAAAAAGGAACTCGGACTTTCAGGTATCCGACGATGGGATTCTGAAGTTCCGTGGACGGTTATGTATACCCGGTGATGCAGAACTGAAGGAGAAGATTTTGTCAGAGGCTCACCGTAGCAATTATAGTATTCACCTGGGTAGTACGAAGATGTATCAGAACTTGTGACAGCATTATTGGTGGAATGACATGAAAGTGGATGTGGCCAAGCACGTGGCCAAGTGTTTAACATGTCAGCAAGTGAAGGCACAACATTGCAAGCAGGGTGGAATGTTGCAGCCATTGGAAATTCCCGAGTGGAGGTGGGAACACACCACGATGGACTTTGTAATGGGATTACTGAGGAGTTAGAGGGGTCATGATTCGATTTGGGTGGTAGTCGACCGATCGACAAAGTCAGCACATTTTTTGCCGGTGCGAAAGGACTTCGCCTTAGAAAGGTATGCCGAGATATACGTGCAACAAATAGTCCGTCTTCAAGGAGTGCCAGTGACGATTACCTAATACCGTGATCCTAAATTCACTGCCGCTTTTTGGAAAAGTCTTTATACGGCATTAGGAACGAAGTTACAATTTAGCACGACCTATCACCCCCAAACGGATGGCCAGTCTGAAAGGACGATTCAAACTTTGGAAGACATGCTGCGAGCATGTGTATTGGATTTTAAAGGTAGTAGGGAGGAACAGTTGCATTTGGTTGAATTTGCTTACAACAATAGCTACCAGCAGAGTATCAGAATGGCACCGTTTAAAGCGCTGTATGGCAGAGCTTGCAAAACATCTGTTTGTTGGGATTAAGTTGGTGAGAGGAGCATCACGGGTCCCGAGTTGATTCAGCAGTCAGTCGAAACAGTCAAGGCGATTCGGGATAGGCTTAAGACCGTTTAGAGCCGCCAAAAGAATTATGTAAACCGGAGACGTAGGCCTTTGGAATTTCAAGCAGGAGACCACGTTTTCCTCAAAGTATCGTCGATGAGAGGATTGTTACGGTTTGGCAAAAAAGGGAAGTTGAGCCCGAGGTACGTGGGTCCATTCGAGGTCTTAGAGAGAATTGGCACCTTGGCCTATTGTCTCGTACTACTGCCGAATTTATCCTAAGTACACAATGTGTTCCACGTGTCTATGCTAAGGAAATATGAACCAGACCCGACCCACGTGCTAAATTACGAAGAAATAGACGTGGATGACAAAGTGTCGTACGTGGAAAAGCCAGTAAGGATCGAGGATAAAATGGAGCGAGTGTTGCGGAACAAGACAATTCCAATGGTCAATGTGATTTAGGAGCACCATGAAACCAAAGGTGCGACATGGGAAAGCAAAGAGTTGATGCGACACCAATACCCCCATTTGTTTGAATAGTTGGGTTGGATTGCAAATTTCGAGGACGAAATTTTTGTAAGAGGGGAAGAGTTGTGACATTCCGAATTTCGGCCCATTTTTGGGATTTATAAAACGGGTATTTCGTCAGTGCGCTTATAATAAAATCTCGCCCGGAACTGATCACTCTTGGGTTATTATTTTTTAAATTAGAGATTTCGCTAGAATCGCACTCGATCGAATTTGGCCGTTATTTAGAGCCCGAACTTTGGTGTCGAATTTCTGGGAGTTTCGTTACGAATTTAATTGGACGGTGTCGATATTACTGTGGCCAACCTCGAGATTGCAAAAAATAGTGGAAAAGTGAAATTTTGGACCGGGTGCGGATTTGGACTAATAAACCTCCATCGTAGTGTGTTTTATCTGGTGTCCGTGTTTCAAATCCTAATTTATTAATTAGGGTTTTTTGTGACCGTTAGATCGACTTCGAATTTGAATGTGGGCCGTTGGATCGCAATGATTATTTGGACTTTCTCTCTCTCTCTCCCCCCTCTCCGGTCACGTCCCTCTGCCGCGCGCCCCCATGCGCACGTTTTCTCTCTCTCTCTGCCATGCAGACCCACTGTCCCCCCCTTCTCTCTCTCTCCTCCTTTTTCCTTTTCTTCTTCTTCTTCTTCCTCTTCTTCCCTTCTTCGCCCGCGACTTCTGCTTCCTTCTTCTACTTCTGCTCATTGTTCGCCTCCCTCTCACCGCCCAGCCACCGCACGCCGTCCGACCGCCGCCGCCCGTCATCCGCCCGGCGACAGCCGCCGCCGCTGCTCGCGGCTCACTCCTGGCCGCGTCTCCCTCCCTCACCCTGCTCTGTTTCGCGTGACCAGGGGGTTACGCCGACGAGCGGCCACGTCGGTGCCGTCCCAGACCACCACCCTAGCTCGGAGACGCCATCGGTGCTGCTGCTCGTCGCCGTCCGGTCGCTCGCCCCAGCCCGGGGCCGTCGTCACCGCCCCTCCTCTCCCTTTTCTTCCCCTGTTCACCCGGCCATTGGTCGTGCCGGAGCCGTGAGCGACCAAATCCGCCGGGGCGCCGCCCGTTCAGCCTCCGACGCCGCTGCTGCCTTGCTGTCCGCCCAGCTACGGGCCGCTCGCCATCGCTGGCTTGCCGTTCACGCCCCCACCCAGCTATTCCTTCTTCCTCCTCTCCTCTTCGTGGGCGCCCGACCAGCAGCTACCGCGGCTCGCTCTTCCGCCGCGCGTCGTCCGCCGTGGCCGCCGTCCATTTGGCCCGTCGCCGCCGTTGCTGCTGCTGCTCCGGCAAGACCCCCGGTTCCCCCTTCCCCTGTTCTGGCTTACCCCCTGCTCCGCCTCGCCAGTCATCACTGCGCGCCGCCGTCTTGGCCGCCGCTGCCCTCACCGGCTCGCCACCACCATCCCGTCCTCCGCCTTGCTCTGTCGCCGGCCCTGCTACTGCCGGCGCCGCTGTGGCCACCGCCGTGCTGCCTCCTGCTCCGGGCATCTGCCCCTCCCCTGTTTCTTGCCGTCGCTCTTGCTGGCTCTGTTCTTCACTGTCCAGCCAAGCAGCCGTTGGCCCTGCTGTTCCGGCGACGACGCAGCTGCTTCAGCCTCATCCCCTGCCCGCCATCCCAGCCGCCGCTTGCCCTGCTGTCCCAGCGACGACGTGGCTGTTTCGGCTTCTTTCTCCGCTGCCCTTGACCGGTTTTCTTGTTCCGGATTGAGGTAAGCGGTCTCCCTAATCCTCGCTTAGGATTATAGGTATCCTTGGACTCGTTTAGACTTGTTGTGTGATCGAATAGGGGTTATTTAAGGCTAATTTGCGCGCTGAAATGGGTGGACTGTTTATGGCTGGATTATGGTGTGAGATTGGTTGATTTGGAGGTTGGATTAGGGGTAATCTAAGGCTGAATTAATAGCTGGCTTGGGTGCTGAAGTTGTGGGTGGATATCATTGAGTTTATAGATTGAAATGTGCATTGAAAGGTGATGTAATGTTGATCATGGGGTGGCTGAATTGTTCGCTATCCGTGTGGTGGAAGTTAATGCCCAAATGTGTGTTGATTGTGTTAAGTGCGGGTTGACTTTGTCGGCTTTAATGCGACTGAACATGCTTGGTGGTATGTGACTTGATCCGTTCGATTTGTGACTTATTTAGTGCGTGTTTGTGAGCTGAAGTGGAGGATTGGAAATTGAGTACGTTGAGTGATGTTGGTGGGTTTATTGAGCGGAATGTGGGTTAAAATGTGTTGGAATGGCGAGCTAAGTGTGGCTGGTGGTTATTTGAATTACGGGCTGATTTAATGCTTGATATTGTGTGCTCACGTGGTGATTTGATGACGAGTAATGGCTGACCTTGATTGACTGTTTGTGAGTGTGCGGGTGTGACTGTTATTTGGTGGAACTGTGGCCTCTTCGGCGTAAGTATGGCGAATTGTGTTGTGGTCGTTTGGAAATGGTTGTGTGATATTTGATTCTGTGAAAGACGTGAAATTGATTGAATTAAGTGGCGTGTGTGCTTGCTTGAAAAACCCGGATTGATCAGAGGGCTGCCAACCTGAGGCGTGGTTACGCGGGTGTGGCGAGAAAGGCAATAAAAGACCTGAGGCGTGTTTACGCGGGTCATTGGAGGATGCTGAGCCTGAGGCATGTTTACGCGAGCCGTGGAAGGAAAGTTGGACCTGAGGCGTGTTTACGCGGGTCATTGGAAAGAAAGTTGGGCATGAGGCGTGTTTACGCGGGCTGTGAGAATGGGCTTGAGGCGTGTTGACGCGGTCAGTGAGAAAGGACCTGATGGGTGTTGACTCAGGTCGTGAGAAAGTTAGATGGATGGACATGATGTGGATTGTCCTTGATTGAATTGGGTGAACGCACGTGTGTATGACGCTCGAGTGATTGTGATGTGTTCTTGGAATATTATTGCTTATAGTGATTTGACTAATATGCAGAGTTGGCGCACGATTAGAAGTGAGGTAAGTATGTTTATGTGATTTCTAGTACGTCGATGGTTAGATTGCCTGTTGAGACTTGTCTGGGTACGCATTGGCCTAGGTGGGGTTTAGGTGTCTGCTTATTGAGATTTATCTCATCCCCCGTTGTTAAACATTTTTCAGGTTTGGAGTGACGGATAGTCGTCACGTGCGGTTCAGAGACCGGGAGTAACCTTGGGCATTTGACGCTTCGCTTCATCTTTGGATGCCCCTCTTTTGTATAGTGAAGTAGGCTACCCAACCACTGTCCCCTTTTGATGTTGTGTATTTGTGAATGCTGTAGTGCTATCCCTTGTCATTAACTATCGTCAGGGTTGCTTAAATTTCGCTTCCGCTTGCGTACGTATTTGTATGTTTCGTTTGAGTCAGCAACATGTCTTGGGATGTCGCGTTCATTACGACCGTCGGAGGGGTGTCGCGAGCCCGTTGGGGTTCGGGGCGTGATAGAGTGCGTGTACACTTTTGAGTGGCCTGGATATACGAGTATTACTTAGAGCAATCTTGATTTTTAGGACTTGATGTAAGATTCCCCGAAACCCGTCTATTCTCTTCCCATAATGGCAAGGATAAATGAAAGTTTAAAGCTCAAGCATAGTATATAAAAACTGGCCAGTAAAAATTACAGAACGTTATGAGATGAAACCACCGGCATGAGCTGCATTGGCCTCTAAAACACATTGAAGATTATAATCTAAAGTACGTGAAAGAGCACTTTATTTAAGTCCTGATGGACACATTCATAGAACTCATCAAGAGAGACAAGGCAGCTTCTTCAGTTCTCAGTGGGAGGCTTGTGGGGTGGCTTGTGGGGGAAAGGAGGGCCCTTTGGCTTCTTCTCTGGGGGGTGCTCAAACGGTGGCTTGTGCTTCATCGGGGGCTTCTCGCTCTTACCCTTTGGTGGCATGTGCTCCTTCTTGGGCGGCTTGTCGTGGAAAGGAGGGCCCTTCGGCTTCGGCTCTGGGTGGTGCTCAAACGGTGGCTTGTGCTCCTTCGGCGGCTTCTCACCCTTACCCTTTGGTGGCTTGTCCTCCTTCTTGGGCCGCTTGTGCTCGGGGAACGGCTTGTGATCCTCCTCAGCGACCTCCTCGGCGAGGATATGGCCGTGTGGGTGGTGGTGATGTGGAGGCTTGTGCTTGGGCAACGGCTTGTGTCCATCTTCCTCAGCATACTCCAAGAGGAGTCGGCCGCCGCTGGGGTGGTGCTTGTGGGGCGGCTTGTGCTCCTTCGGGGGCCTTTCCTTCTTGAACGGGTGGTGGCGGTGGTCGAGCTCCTCCGCGATGGCGCCCGTGAGGAGCACCAGGCCTAGGAACAACACTAGCAAGTACTTGAGAGACATGGTTTTCTGTTGCTAGTTTGGGGCAGTGAAGAGTGAAGTGAAGTGAAATGGCGGGAGGGTTGGGTTATATTTATAGTGTCTTTGCACCAATGATGTCAGCACACGTGTCACTCTAGGTTTGGACTGATTGGTCTTTGAAATTTGGACTTAAAAGAGTGTGAAAATCAAGGTTCTGTTTTTAGAGTGTGTGCGGCCTAGAGAAAGTGATTGCTTGATTGATGGGGCCAAAACGAGTTGAAAAGTTTGACAATTTGGCTTAGCCTCTCGCTCGAGATTGATCCATGGGGACCCTTGCTTGCTCCGGAAGAAGACAATGAGCATCACCGCCATGGAATAATAGAAGATTGCAGTGCTTTTGCTAACTTATCTTTGCATGCATGCAAATATTTTAGAAGATTAAATTTAGGAACACAGAGCATATATGAAAGATGTTGGTGCAAGGAAGAACTCATGGGAAAATGATGGAAGGTATAAAGATTGATTTACAAAATGGATTTATCAAGCGGATGGAATGAATTGTGGACCAAGAACCGCCCCGACCGTTCTCTTGTATCTCAATCCGTGTCATTTGCTAATGAGAGGTCGGATTCACTTCTAAATAATAAAAATGAGCAGGATATGTAAGTGTTGAGATTATATACTTTCACATAGAGTCTACCCCGATTTTCTTAAATTAATATTTATAAGTGATTTTTCCCATACTCCTTGTGCTAATTAATGATCGGATGGGTACATTGTGTTTATATTACTGGATGAACTTAACATTATATATGCAACCATTTCCTCCAAAAGCTGAAGTTGTTTGATTATGGTGTAGAATATATTTTATATCTTAACCAATTGAGTCATCTTGAAACGCAATAACATGTTACAACCCCATAAACATGGATCGATTTCAACACGAGGCGATCGAGCGGGCATGTCTGCGAGGGGCATTCTTGCTTGGGTTGAGACTTGAGAGTCAGAAGGAAATCTCATATCAGACCTTTTGCTGATGCCCCTTGTAGCTATGCTTCTGGCTTTAAGGATTTGAGTCAAAAGTTGCTGCTATTAGAACCTAGTAGTGTAAAAAAGGCCGGCGCCGGACCGACCCGGCTCGACCCAGCCTAACCCTACCCTAAAATTTCGGGTTTTTTGGGTCGGGCCTTAGTTTTTCTGGGGTGGGGTTTAAGGTGTGGGTATTGTCAAGGTAGGGCCGGGCCGGGCCAGGCCGGCGTGGGCTTTTTTGACACCACTAGGGCCAGAGTGAGCGGCAAAGAGAACATATCCCTCTCTCTCTCTTTGCGCAAGCGCGACGGACCCGATCGCCCCTCTGCTCGCCGTTGATTTCTGTTCCGATGCCTTACACGGCCAAGTCCTCTCCTACTGGCGCTTCTTCGACTCGATCCGCGATCTGGGTCTCCTCCGCGACCTCTCCAAGGTCCTCTACGTCTCCGCCGAAACCAGCCACGAGGTCATGGCGCTGTAGTTGAGCGTCGCCGACGTCAATGGGGTCGAATTGATTGACTCGCCACCTCTTGTAAGCCGCGCTGATCCGCACAATTTACCCTTCTTCGACTGGGTTTTCGATTTGGCGTTTAGTGGGAATTTGGAGGAGGCTCTGTTCCTGTTGCGGTTTATGGCGGAGATGGAGAGGACGGTGAGGGTCAGAGGGTCAGCGGGGCTTGTGTGGCGGTCTTTGAGGAGTGTGGTGACGCGGAGGTAGAGGAGATTGTGAGTTTGTTTAGGAAGTCGAGATTTGCTAGAGGCGAATTTTTGCCCCCCAAATGTTCTCTCTTTCGAATGTGCAAGCGAAGGGTTCTGTTTTGGGAGCTCAAGTTCTGATTCGCAATATGTCTTTTTCAAGATGGGTTAGTGTCATTTTTGAAGTTGAAGCTCGTGTAATGTTTCTTTCAAGTGAATGCATTTTCATGAGATCGTCTAGCCAGGAGATATTTGACATTTTTGAGTTTATGCTTTGCCATTTTGTCTATTTTGATGGTTTGATCTTATTAAAATGCAGTCTTTTGGTGGAGAATGAGTTTCAATTATTGAGTAGTTCAGCTGATATTGGTAGAAATACTTTGACTCGCTGTCAGGTTGGAGATCCCGTGCTTCTTGACTTGTTTGGACACTTCTTCATACTGGGCTATTAAGAGTTCGTCTCTACATTTGTTGACCTTGCAATTAGGTAGGTCTCTTCTATCTAGACCATGATTAAGTTCCGTCTTAATATTTTACATTTTGAATTAACTAGTTGTGCGATAGTGAAGGCCCTTGATTGACACTTTTCCTGCCAAGATGAAGTACGAGTGGAAGCGGCATTTAGAGGCTTGGAGATACAGATCTGATTTAGACTATGAGCATGAGCTATGAGGATGGATAGCCGCAGGACAAGATCTTTGTCAAATGGGTTGCTGAACATACTGGGGTTAAGTGTAAATTGTCCATTTTAGGGGAGGAATTGTTGGAAATGCTAGCAGGAGGAAATACTGGGGACAAAAAAATATGGCCACAATTCTCATTCCTTCCCTTTTCACTGATTTCACTTTCTTTTTGTCCTTACTCTTTTCCCAAGCACAGTGCAAGTGTCATCTGTTGGAGGACAGGTCTTTCTACCCTTCCATTTGAGCTGTTGAGTTCCTGTCTTTAGCATCTGTCTGATCTAATATTCCAATTGTCAGATCTGCTCGACATTAACTTATCATGCTTGAACGTGATTAAACTGTCCTACACTCTACCTTTATATATATGGACTGCTGTGGGAGGCTTATGTAAATAGTGTTATTTTTGACTTCTTGTTCTTTTGTTCCTGCTTGGCGTAGCAACATACATAGAATAACTAGAGGTTAGGAAAGTGAGATTCATTTTACCACCAGAGTCAATGAGAGAACGTTGTTTATTACTCCCTCTGTGTTTGCACTGTTGTTGGGAGTAGACTGAAATGAAGATTGAGGTTAGTTTTCTGAGATCATTGTCCCACCCATTTGCACCATGAAACTTTCTGTTTATGTGCATTATGATTCGATTCTTATCCCACTGTCACGACGTGCTCGTGCTTCTACATTCTCTTGCAATTTCTCAAGCTCTCACCTCAACAATCTTCACAAGATCCCATCTAACATGTTCAGAAAGGAGGCAAATACAAGATTCCCTGTACGAGCTCGAGAGTCACAAGCCAATTCAAGTGACGAACATGCAATATAATAAGAACAAAAATGGGGAAATCTGAGGTGAGGGTTGATTCCATGATCATACATATTCAAGGTTGACACCCATTTTCCAATCTATCTACCAAAAAACAAAAAAACCTGAAACCTGACCCGGACTGACTTGACCCGACCCCGTCTCTTGGGGTGTATGCTGAACAGGGTCTCGGGTCGGGTTAGGTATAATGAAAACCCGACCAGACCCGATCCGATCCGACCCGACTCGACCCATTGACACCCCTTAGTAACCTCCGCTTTCAGAAAGTTGATTTGTACTCGCCATATATAATCATAAATCCAATGATTTATTTGCTTTTCTGATTGAAATGCGTATGTCGCTGTAATAATGTTGCTATGAAAATTGATTTTTGTACCGACAGCATATAAGTTGAAAACCGAGTGTGTTTCTTTTCACGAGGCTTCGTGTCCCACATCCACATGAAACCCTAGAATCAATGTCACATTCCGCTAGAGGAATATTTTCATTTTTCATTTTTCGTTGGCTAGAATATAGTTAATGATTTTAATTAATAGTGCACAATATTAAATGTTATTTTCGTACGTAAATATACTGTGCACCATGCATGGTGTGCTTCTATTCATTTCCCATTGCAACGGTGGACTTTAAAATAGAAAAGCTCCGGACATGAAAGACCTCGAAATATCCAACAAGCTTCATAAATCATTAAGATCGAGCTAATAAAATTTGCAATCACTCTTGTTGAAAATATCCCACGTCACTAGACATTATAGGTAATATGCTCTTTATATATATGCGGTCTCCGTTCACTTATTAATTTAAATTTTAAATTAGACTTTCAAATATGATATCGGAATTAGGGTTTCATCCCTTTCGCACGTGCATCTAACCCCGTTAGTCAAATTTCACGTATCACTCCTAATTTAGTGTAAAAATATTACATATACTTTATACATATATATATGTGTGTGTGATTTCCTTCGATTTATTAGTCTAATCTTTTGCGTCGGACTTTTAAATAATTCCAATCAACGGGGTTGCCGTGGTATTCAATGAAATTGTGTTTCGCGTTATTTAACTTGTAAATAGTTAGAAAATGTGGCGTCACTGCCCATCTCAGCTGGGAAAGTGACCTTAAATTAGGGCAGCCCCGAGACAAGGGAAAGGGCTACAGAAACCTTGATTAGACAAGGGGGGCCATCCTTGGAAAGATACTGTTCCCATTGGAGCCAAAAAGGACACCACGCGTTGGTCACGTGAGCTTGATTTGCGTGACTTCTTTCGACTCGACAGTGCCGACAGTTTGGGATGGTCGTGCCTTGCGGCTTGTGGTGGCAGACAAGAGTGTAAAAAAGGGTGAATTCCGATCCAATCCGAACCGCTCAAATCAAGTTTCTTTGGATCGGGCCGAGTCGGGTCAATCTTATATGTGTTTCATCTTGTCGAAACACCAAAATGAGAATCGTTCGAGTTGGATACTGATCCGAAACACGAAATTATTATTTTTCTAAAAAATGGTGAGAGAAAGAACCAAATCTGCAATTAACACAATTCCTTCTAAAAATCTCCTTTGATTTTCATGAGTTAAGATCGTTTCACTTTGCACTCGAGTCATTTTTTATTCATGGGTTAACAACGGTCTGACAAAATTTTAGAATAGACGCGGGATGGGTAAGATTTTGATTATACAACCTATTTGTTCAGTGATTTTCAATAAATGCCAATAGAAGGAAGGTCTTTTAATTTGCCAATTCACCTTGTAAGTCTTGAATTAGATTTTGTCTTAGCCTAAAGAGGCCAACCCGAACCTTAGCATATCCCTTAAAGGCTACACCGACCACGAGGTGTAAATGGAATTTGGGTATTGTCGGGACCAGGGTAAGAAAAAGATTATGACCGAACAGGGGGCTGGCGAGTGCGGATATCGGCACGCCAAAATAAGGAATGCATGAGTGGAATCCGTCCTATTATGAGATAAGAGGATAATACAATTAAATCCAAGAAATCTAATGGCTTGCCCAAGTTATGTAACCACAGCTTGTTAAATCCCATAGGGTCCAAAATCGATTATCATCTTGTCCATCCGATCCCCTCTTGTTCTCCACTTATTCAATGTCTAAGAAGCTCACTAGGGTCGCTGTCATAGCTGAGATCAGCAGTGACGCCGCGCAATGAGCACTTTAAGAAGAAAGGGGCGACCTTTACACGTCGCATAAAATCTAACTGGAGAATTCAATACGTAGCATGCATTAAAATGCTTCAGAAGAGCTATGAATTAGCTTTCGGCTTTTTGTCTACGGCATCTTTTCTTACCTCCCCCAAGTGTTATGCTTATAAATCAATGCCTAACGTTAAAGTCATGTCCCCCTCAATGGAAATCCCTCCTGAATTCCGTCTCGATAAAGTTTGGTGCACATTCTGTGGGTCAATGTGATTGCAATTGCTTCAGGAGATGGGGACATGGCTTCCCTGATTTCAGTTAAAAATTAGAATAAGATTAGACAAACGGCTACCTAGTCTATCTTGAAATGATATTGTAATCCAAAAAGGGAAGCATCAAATTCAAAACCCTAAATGGTTTCTTTAGTGAGAAGCTTGCTTAAGTTTTCGGATTTGAATAATGACAAAAAAAATCACAAAAAACTCCAAACTATGCCCAATATGATATATTTACCATAAATTTTTTTATGATATAAAAAACTTCAAACTATACTTACTATGACACATTACCCTAAACTTTTTTTTGTGACATAAAAAGTCCCAAACTTGTACATATGTGATATATTTACCCTCCGTCGAAATTACGTTAGATGATTTTTCAGCCAAAATAAGGTTATTTTTTATTTCACTTATGCCACACGGGCACAATATCAACACTGTTTGCTTTTTAGTATCCGTATAAGCATATTTTTAACGGATTTCATTGACAGAATTTTGACGGAGGATAAATGTATCACACAAGTATAAATTTGAGATTTAAAAGTTTAGGTTAAACGTGTCATAGTTGGTGTAATTTAGGATTTTTTGTAGCTTTTGCTCTTGAATAATTATATTTATGTACCCTTTCAGGGTCACCCTTGGAAGCACGGACCTTTGCACTGTATTGATTGCTCGGTATGTGTAGGACAAAACCGCTTCCACATCCGGCGAACGACTAGCCGCAGCATTTGAACATTGTTTTGATGTCACCAAGAAGCACAGACCTATGTCCTCCGTTAGTTACCTAATTTGCATGGGATGGGAAAACTTTCACATCGTGAAGGATTAGTCGATTGTCAATGGTCGCCAGACACCCGCAACGTGGTGTTCACATTCTTCTTTCATGTAGTAATATACGTCTTCAATTTCAACCAATTTGTCAACCTTATCACACTTTACGTTTCCATCATCTTTATCATCATGGTGGCATCAAAACATGAAGATAGACTGTGTTATCGTATCAGGACAAGAGCATCTTAACGGTTTGAATTATTAAAATAGAATTAACTTTACGACTACGTACACTGGAGAAGAGAATATGATGTGCTATTGCACCTTTTGCTTTTCTTTTTCGGCCGTGACTTTCTTTCCATGTGTGGAAAGTTATTTGAAATTTTTATCAATCTATCCTTGAGTAGTATGGATGAAAGATGTGTATGCTTGAAGATAACTAACATATGTGAATGAATTTCTACTTAAAAGTGTGGTTTTGATAAATTTTCCCATTTTGATGATAGATCTAATTAAAAAAATTTGTGTTGAGTACACTGACATAACGAGAGCAGACGGTTTTTGAGATATATCAATGCCGATAGTCTACCATAAGACGACCATGCATCATATTAAGGGTTTGTATCAACTTAATGTGTAATGGACGATTTTTTATTGTACTGCATTACTGCATAAATGGAATATGTGTATGCTTGAAGAGAACTAACTCATGTGAATGAATTTTCATGTATCATCGATCTAAAGTGTGGTTTCGATAAATTTTTCCACTTAATGATAGACTTAATAAGAGTTTGTGTCAAGTTCACTGACACCATGAGATCGATAGTGTTTGTGTAATAGAATTCTTCACTGACGATAGAATTACTAAAATTCTTATGCCTGAATCTCGGAAATTCCTTAGACTTGCGCACTTGATTGATATCGATGTTCTTATGTGACGAGCAAAAATCACATGGCATAGAGAGAGTAAACAACTTCATTACATCATCGAACATATTGCACCTCCTAAGAGTATAAGAAACAATTTTAGCTTGACTTATCTGAGGTAGGCACGGTGCAACTTTAGCTTATCTATTTAACCCGCCGGATGCTAGTGAGGGTGGACCTCACCATCATCGGGCGAGGCCCGACATGGCCGGCCCTTGCCTATGGGTGGTCGCCACGGCTAGCTAACCGGCCATGGAAGAAGGGCAAGAAAAAAAAAAGAAAAAAATATATAAAGATATCAAAAAAATATTCGTGATAGTACCGACTATACCACGTGGGGCAGTCGGCGTCCACATCAGTGATCACTGGCCAAAATTAACTAGAAGGACTATATTGTCAAATCGTCAAACGGTTTAGAATTCAATTAGCTAAATTAAAAAGTTTAGGACTGAATTGACATCACTTTTCTAATGACTATCTCAATTTGTGTGGGACGGGAAACTCCCACTTCTAGAAAAGGACTAGCCAATTGTCAAGAGGCATGAAACACTTCACATTCTTCTTTCTTGTACTAATCTACATCTTCAATTTCCATCAACTTGACATAGTAGTATCGGAATATAAAGATAGACTCTGTCATCATTTCATGACAAGAGCATCTTGACGGTCCAAATTATTAGAATAGATAGAAAGTCACTCATAAACTTTACGACTGCGTACGCACGTAATCGGATAAATAAGAAAGCGGGGACTCGATCTAGGTTATAATATTGATTAGGGTCCATTAGGTTGTGGACAAAAATCGACAAGACACAGCACACCGGAGAGGAGAAAATCATGTGCTATTCCCACCTTTTGCTTTTCCTTTTTGGCCATGACTTTTTTCATGTGTGGAAAGTTACTAGGAATTTTGTGGATCTATCCTTGACTACCCTATTTTACTATAGTAAAGTATCCTTGCATGGATGGAAGATGTGTATGCTTGAACAGAACTATCTTATGTGAATGAATTCTCACGGTATCATCGATCTAAATTGTGGTTTCGGAAAATCTTTTCACTTTGATGACAGACCTAATAAAAATTTGTGTCGAGTGCACTGACATAACGGGATCGACAATGCTTGTGTAATAAAGATTCTTCACTGACGATAGGATTAGAAAAATTCTTATACCCGAATCTCGGAACATCTAGACCTAAGACTTACACACTCGATTGATATCATTGTTCTTATGTTGCGAGCGTAAATCACATGATATAGAGAAGAGATTACTTCATTAAATATTCGTACAGATGGCACCTCCTAAGGATATAACAAACAACTTTAGCTTGTCTTATCCGAAGTCGGCATGGTGCAACATTGTTCATTTTCCATTGACGACGTGAATCACATTTAAAAAGTTATGCTCACAGGGGCAAGATACAAAGGAGTGTATCTTGGCTATAGCACTTTCTAGGGCCTCAGATTTAGCGATTGTGTCTTGAATATAAAGCATATTCAAATTAGTAAATTGCCTTAATATGACGTCACTGCCGATGTCATTTGTGACTGTGACCTTTAATTAGGCAAGGTACCCGACAAATGAGGCGTTAAAAGATAGTGTACAAGATCAAGTTATAACCGCGCAAATCCATGCACGTGTGGCAAATGGGGGCCGATTGAGCTATTGGTAGTACCGACCACTTTGGTGGGTCACATAGGTGTTTGTATGGATAGGACATGGGACCATACCACCTACAGACATGTGGCCAATCTTAATCTACATGTCGAACGTATTGATTTCATGAAATAGGTGAAGTTTATCCTTTTTTTTTTTTAGATGATATGATAGATCGAACATGATCATCCGTCGAAAAACAATCTTGTAGATCTCGTTACATCTTATATATCATTTTCAAAAGCCGGAGAGTTTCGGGGTTTGAAGATTAATAAAGGTGAGGTAGGGGGTTGTTGGCGATGGATGCTAGGGTTCGTGAGATAGTTTGCGGGCTTGGGTATTTGTAAAGGAGGATAATTTGGTCTTTTTATCCTAAGGGTTTTGTGTAGAGGTAGCAAACTGATATAAATAAAAGTAAAGATATGAAATGGTCATCGAAAATAAAAACCGAAATTAATACGATTCGAAATGTAAAAGATGGACTATCTTTGTTAGAACTTTCAAAATAAACTATGGCACATTTTAACTCTATAACTAGTTACATAGGAAAAGCTCGACCCAATCTAGATTATGTTATACGAAAAATCATATTTTGACTAGGATTAATATGCTAAACGAAGGAATCGGTGGACCATTTGGTAAACCTTTCCAAAAGCAATTAGGCCAAATTGTCAAACATCAGCTGAAGCAGATCTATAAAAAGTAAAATCGGATTATACGAAAAATCATATTTTGACTAGGATTAATATGCTAAACGAAGGAATCGGTGGACCATTTGGTAAACCTTTCCAAAAGCAATTAGGCCAAATTGTCAAACATCAGCTGAAGCAGATCTATAAAAAGTAAAATCGGATGAATCTGTGGGGACATGTAGTGTAGGTTTTAGTCGTGGGCAAGCAAAAAATATCAATTTAGAATAACATGATTATGTTAACATAGTCTTAAGTAGTTAAATTATCCAAATAGAAAAAATTAATGTTTCTAATACATTCATTGTTATCTTCTCATTTATGTCCTGATATCAGTAGGTTAAAAATTCATTATTCCTTCTTTTATTATACTTCACAAGTGAGTCAAAAGCAGTTGATCAGAATTTTCAGATCTTTGAAAATCAAACCAAGCTTTTAGGATTAAAGTGTACTTGGTACCCCTTTCTAGATGAAGATCTCCTGTGTCTGTTCTAAATAAGCAAGTCCTGTCTAAGCACTCCGATAAACACTTGCCGCATGAATTTTTCAACAGAATAGTGCAAATCAACTATGTATTTATGTCTTTATTAACTACTAATCATATTCCAGTTGCGCATCTATATTGCCTGAGGGTTTAGGAGTATGAACAAATTTTTCGTGCTTGCGGGACATGTTTAACAAAGGAAATCTCACGGCTAGCAAGTACTTAGCATATATTAACGTAGGCAAACTAAGGAAATGCCCAACCAAAGTACGAACATCCTATATCACATGGAACACAAATAGCCAACCAGCTAACACGGTAGTACCACATACTCTATGGACCAGCTCTTATTTGAACGCGTGATATGCACACGACGTATACATTCATTGAAGAACAGACACTCAGTTCTCGGTGGGGGGCTTGTGCGGTGGCTTGTGGTGCGGCGGCTTCTCTCCCTTGCCTTTCTTTGGCTCCTCGCCTTTCTTCGGCGGCTTGTGCTCTGGGAATGGCTTCTTCGAGTCCTCTTCCACCTCCTCTACGAAAATGTGTCCCTCGTGTGGCGGCTTGTGCTTTGGTGGTGGCTTCTCTCCCTTTCCCTTCTTCGGCTCCTCGCCTTTCTTGGGGGGCTTGTGCTCAGGGTACGGCTTCTTTGAACCCTCTTCCACCTCTACGAGAATGTGTCCCTCGTGTGGTGGCTTGTGCTTCGGTGGTGGTTTCTCTCCCTTTCCCTTCTTCGGCTCCTCACCTTTCTTGGGCGGCTTGTGCTCAGGGAAAGGCTTCTTCGAGTCCTCTTCCACCTCCTCTACGAGAATGTGCCCCTCGTGGGGAGGCTTGTGCTTCGGTGGAGGCTTGTCGCCTTTCTTCGGGGGTTTGTGCTCGGGGAATGGCTTCTTTTTTTCATCGGTTTCCACTTCCTCAGCGAGCATGTGGCCAGGGTGGTGGGGCGGCTTCTTTCCTGGGAATGGCTTTTTGTGGGAGTCTTCTTTTTCGACCTCCTCGGCGAGAATGAGTTCATGAGGGTGGTGGTGGTGGTGGTGTGGGGGCTTGTGTTCGGGGAATGGCTTGTGTGAGTCCTCGACTTCGACGGTCTCCAACAGACGGCGACCGCCAGGGTGGTGCTTGTGGTGGTGCTCGTGGTGTGGTTTGTGCTCTTTTTTGAAAGGGTGGTGGCCGTCGGAGAGGACGGCGGCGGCAAAAAGCACCGCTCCCAGGAGCAAAACTAGCAAGTACTTGGAAGACATTGGGGAGGATGTGTGAGAGAGCTGATGGTGTGGGAGTGGAGTGATGGGAGCGTCTCAATTTATAGTGGTTTCGGACTATTGTCGTCGTCAGCGATCACGTCACTCCGTATTTGGATTTTTCGTTTAGGTTAATCAAGATTTTGATAGGGCCCCACTTGCGCTGTCCAATCACTGAGGTTGAATAAATCGGACAAGGCATATGAGACAGCATCCATTGAATAATAAAGTGAGCTGCTACGCTGGACCTCTTGCTTTCTACTGGCCGTATTACTCTCTAATCGAATGTTTTAGTCCAATTTTGCATCGTGCGAGTCCATCTTTGAGTATATAAATGTTCATGAAGAACTTCGCTTTATGCTTGAACTTACCGATTTCTTGTGTATGAAATTGTCACGTATCTTGCCAATCTAAAATTGTCCACGTAGATTCTTTTTCCAATCATTGTGATTTGAGAAAAATCCTTATTATTCCAGTTCAAGTCGAAAGCTTCAATAGCTTCAATCAATAGTGGATCAATACTGATTGTTCACCAGAAGACGAATTTGTGCTAGCTTCATGTCAATGCATGCAATGGACAAACTCCCGACTAATGTAGTCGGCACGCAAGCGAAATTTTTTATCAATGTCACATCAATGTGGTAATTATGCAACGGAAATTCTGCACTAGTATTCACTAGTATTAAATATGTCTTGAATTTTATGTACTCGGTCCGATTCATCACCTGACCCGACATATTTTTTGTGCGACCCAAAAGTGGAGAAAAAATTGAGATTTAGTTCGTGACGCGGAGGGTTGGGCTGATAGGCTCAATTTATACTGCGGCTAGGTTTTTTCATTAATTAAGAGAGATTTTCGTTTTGGGAGAGATCAGTGAGCCATGAGGTTTTGTTAAGTCGTTTTCCGACTTATGAAAACTGTACTCTTTTTTATTATAGTGGAATCTTGTTTTGCCTCGCCCGTGAACGTAAATCACCTTGTGATCGAACCACGTAAATCCTTGTGTTCTGTATTTGTTTTTTCTGCGTTTGCTTCAACAACTAGCACGTTTGAAAATGTGTTAGTGAATACCAGACTATTATATAACTAATATTTTCATTTTACGAGTAAACGCATCACATGACACATGAAAACCCTACAACACCTACACATGTTGCACAGACAATATTATAAATGGACAATTTTAGGTTTTTCTATTCCGAAGTTGGCAAGACGCATTTCTTCAATTCCAACATCAGCGCGGTGGATTATAATAGAACTCCACATGGGGTTGAGAAACAAACAAGTGCAACCATTAATTATTTCGGGGCTCTAGGTTTAAAGAACTTGAATTGAGTATATGTGGTATTATGATACGACTAATTTATTTTCTAATTTGACGTCACTGCCGATATCAGTTTGGACGGTGACCTTCAACGTGTACCGACCAAAAAAGGAAATTGTGAAGCCAAGCTAGATTGAGTTATAACCAAGCGAATAAGAATTAGGTTGGTGTGTACTACTTAACTAGTGGCACATTGTTGATTTTACGACTTCGTAGTATAGTTCCACGTGCCACGTGCCACGTGGCAACTAGCGACAAGCATGCACAACTACAAGTTGATGGTAACCTTTGATGATCCATGCACATGTGACAAATAGGGGTAAACACTGATTTAGGGTCTACCAAATCAGTCTACCGGGGAACCGGACCAAATCGGCCCTAGCCAGCTAGTTCTGCTCTAGTTTCATTGGTCTTCGGCTCCAAATTTTGGAACCAGTACTTTCCAGGTAGATTTCCGATTTTGGGTGCTAAACCCGCCCACTCACCTAGCAACTGGTGGTCTAGAACCTGTTTTAGAAACTCAAACCCTATTACTTTCTTATTTCTCAAGTTGCAGTCTTCCTTCTCTCATTTCTCACTCCCGCTTTTGAATAGAGAATGTAACACAACAAAATTTTTTCGTGGTGAAGACTAGTGAATTCAACGTGGTGAACCGATTGAGGAAGATGCCCGCTCAAATCTCCTTGTTAGATTTATTCAAGTCATCCGAGAAACACAAGAATGCCTTGTTCAAGGTGTTAAATAAAGTACATGTGCCTGACTCTATTGATGATGCTCAACTCAAAGAATTTATTGGGGCAATCCTTTTGAAAGATCAAATATCTTTTTCTGATGAGGACTTCCCCCCTGAAGGGCGTTCCCATTCTAAGGCGTTGTACATATCCGTAAAACATCGTGACACGATTTTGTCGCGAGTTCTCATTGATAATGGCTCGGCCCTAAACATATGTCCATTGGCTACATTATGACGATTGGGAGTAAATGAAGATAGAATTCGAGCCGCCAAAACACCTGTGCGAGCGTTCGATGGAATGAAGAAAGAAACTATAGGCGAAATTGAGTTGGAACTCATGATTAGACCTGTTCTTTTCTCGCTCACTTTCCAAGTACTAAATATACCAAGCAACTTTAGTTTGCTCCTTGGTAGACCGTGGATTCATAATGCCGGAGCTGTGCCCTCAAGCCTTCACCAAAAAGTGAGATTCGTGGTAAATGGCAAGCTCATAACCATACATGCTGAGACGGATTTCAAGGTGTTCCATGATACCGCCATTCCATATGTTGAGCCCGAAATCAAGGAATAATCAAATTACCACTCCTTCGAGTTGGTCTCCATTGCACATGTGCCTGTTGGAGCGATTATGCAAATTCCTCAAATGTCAAAGCCCGCCATCATGTCAAGTAAAGTTTTGCTTGAAAACGGCTACACTCTCGGAAAAGGCTTGGGGAAGCATTCCCAAGGCATCTTGAAACCAATTGAAGCTGTTATGAAGAAGAACAAGAAAGGTTGAGGTTACCATGGAAGCCATGAGAACCAAGGTGATCGCAAATACCAAAATAAAAAGACAAACAGTCGACAGAGGCTGTTATCTCCATCTTTGAAAGAGACATTTTCCAGACCTCCCATGATGTTACAAGAAGAAGAGATTTCCTTCGACTTTATGGCAGATCTCTTTAATGAAGACTTTATTGGCGTATCTTAGCCCATGATAAAGCTAAATCATCCAAAGCACCTATCAACCTTGCTGAATAGGGATGCTTCTTACCCTTCTTCTAAGTCTGTTGCATTCGTTATCGCTTCATTTGTTTGCCCCTGCGTGGGATCAATTTGTTAGTTCAATTGATTCTTTCAATTCAATCTTTGATTTGTAATGGACACTTGGATCTTGAGCCGTTGGTCCAAGGTAGCATATATTGTAATACGGCCTCATCATTTGAATTTCAAAAAGAAGGCATATGCACGTTTTATTAAGGACGTGTGGAAGTACACCAAACTAGTCCTATGATGATGCTTTGAGGATTGGACTTCCGCACGCTTCCTAGTTTCAAAGATTTGTGGAACAAGGATGTCCAAGGATATGAGGACTAAGTTCTTAAAACATTTTCTGGCATGGTTTCAAAACCAATTTTTGGGGCATATCATGAATGTGTGGTTGATCCCCCAACAAATTTTGAAGATTAAATTTTTAAATCAAAACGGACCAAAGGATTTAAGGGTTAGATTTTCAAATGACTTTTGGAATTGTTTTCAAAAATGATTTCCAAACAATCATGCATAAATTTGGCTTCTATTTACCTAATCAAAATGATATCAAAGAGCAGTGTCTCAAAAAGGTAAAAGTACTCGTTCCAATGAGAATATATCGTATCTGATTTGACTTGTTCATCCGTTTATCTTGCAGATAAGGCGTCAAGACGGTTGACTAATATGGACGTGACAAAAGGATAATGTCATCATCAAAGGGAGCATTTCATTTTTTAAGCTCAAATTTATTTAGAATCCAAATTGACATATCTTTTCTTTACATGAAGGTGAATAAAAGAAAAGATTCAAACAATAGACAATGGAAATCAAATAAGGAAGAGCATTGAACATACTAGATTCTTTGAACGCAAAAGTGTCCAACTGGGGCAAATGGCTTTAGTACAATCAACTAAGTTGTCAACAATCAAGAAAGCTCAAAGAGTCGTTTACATGGACTCAAATGAAGGGTAAAGCTGTATCGGTTCCAATTTACCTCTTCTGATATCATTTATTGACTCAGTTTCCTTTCTCTTGATAGGAAGACATCGATCAATGGAAGGAAAATACAAGGGTAAAGTTGTATTGTTCCCAATTGTCATCTTTCAGAGGATATTCATTGACATGATTTCTTTTGTATTCCTGTAGGATCAATTGTCCAACATAGAACAAGTATCCTTTTCCTCAAAGATCTTTCAAGAAAAAATATTTCGAATAATTCTAAAAAATGAGCTTTCAAAACCATTCCATTCCAAAACCTCTTGGATAAAAAATTTTGGTTTCATGATTAAGGTAAATTTGAAACCATTGTCTTCAAATGCTTTATCAAGTCCTAGATGCGGAATCTTAGACACATTGTTTTGAACTAAAAGGATATTCCAAGTTCAAATTTCAAATAATCGTAAGAGAAATTTGAAATCATTTTTTTCAAGAGATCTCAAATGACATTCTTCAAATTGTTCATTCACGCATTGGTAAACACATCATGCATCAGAATTCCCCACAGACGGGTGATTTAACCAAATGATCCTTTGAAAAAACAAAAAAGGGATTTCTCAAAAATGCCGAATGGAAATGCCAAGGATGATAAAAGGCAAACCTTTGATCAAACACGTCCCTATACACATTTTGAGAGAATTGAGCGAAAAAAAAAAAAACCATGTCCTAGGACGTAGGGTTCATTCACATTGAATACATGGATTGAAGTGATAAAAGGCATTTCATTTCTCTATCCTAAACACTCATTTTATCCTTTGCTAGCCACTTTGAGCCAAATAGGGAGAATTTTCAAAATACCCCTATCAAGAACCACCCCACATTGGGGCAAGCTAGGAGGTTTTGGTTGATCATTTTTAGAGCAAAAAGATCAAGAAAGATTTTATTGCTTTCACTTGCATCAACCTTCTTATGGTAATTTCAGGTGGATCTTTATGGAAGCTCGAAACATCCCAAAGTGAAGAAGAGCATTCTTTTTCTCTAC